TATATATATATATATATATATGAATATACATATATATACATACATATATATAATTACAAAATTAATACAAAATTAGTACTATCTTATCAATTTTTTATTAATCATTTAAATTTTAACAATCGCGAGAGAATTCCATATACATTATATATAAAACCGTGATAAAAAATCTTTTTCCACAGTTAATAAATTATAAACAATCATGTAATCTAAATCGGTCGATCTTATGAAAAATGTTAGAAAATTACAATTTTGTTTGCGCAATTTTTGGGATTATTTCGTGTGTAATTCGATTATTATCGGTACAAAAATTTGTTTTACCGGCAGAGGTAGAGTTTCTTAGCGAGCGAGCGAGAAACTAGTGTAAATTGCAGACTGCAGAGGTGATGCCTTTCGCAGGCAAGTCGTCGAAGACGTCGCTGTAACGTGACGTTTCGGCCGTTTCTTCGATTTCCTCCTTCATTCCGAGCTCCGGATCAGGTGTATCTGTGGTGGTGCGGTGGCCGAACCGTCGTGTGTGCGCCAGATCCATCGATTTAACGGGAACACAAAATAAGATGCAACGTCGTCTCTCCGTACGTCACGCGTCCGGCCGTGTCGACAAGCTGATGACACTGAGCGCGATCGCAAGCAGGATCGTCGGACGTTAAGACGTTATGGGAAGATGGTGAAGCAGCTCAATTACCTCGGCCACTGGGAGCATGGGTTCGCAAACGCTGGAGATCCTGAGGCAGGGCGTCTGGGCGAGCCTAACAGGCGGCTGGTTTTACGATCCACATCTCGACATTTTCTCCAACACGTTCCATCTCTACATCTGGCTGTTCCTGCTCTGCCTGCCGTTCACGATCTACCTGGTAAAAAGAAAAGGGAGGAAAAAAAAGCGCTTGCAACATTCCTTTTCCAACTCTCCTCTCTATATTTGCGCAGCTGTTTATTTTGAAAGTTGCATAAAGTCGGCCTATTTTCGCAAAACTATCAAAATAGGCATCTAAAGTTGACCTTTCAACGAGAGTTTATCGTATTTCACATTTGGATTCGTGACACTTTCAAAAGAAATGGCTGATTACTGACCCGTGATTATTTAAGACACTTATCTAATGTTTACATAAATGTTTTGCCATCTTTATTTGCAAGAAACTTTGTTGCTTTTCTTTTTATGACAATTGCAGAAGAGCAAGTCTGTTAAGGAAAGTTTCATGTTTCAGTATTTCCCTCCTACGTTATACGTTTGGCTGGCATATTGCTCGTCATTCGTCGCTGTTTTTGGAACAATAAAGTGTGTAAATCATGCTCTGCACTGTGTATATGATACCACCGAATGTCTAGAAGAACCCAATCAAACTATCAGTCAACAGAAGTCGGAGGGCGAGAAGAAATGGGCGAGCCATAACAAATCTAGGGAACAGTCACAAGATCAAACTAGCCATGGCATAGAGCTGCAAGTTTTAAATGGTACCTGTTCTGCATGATTCGTAATATTAATCAACTCAATAACATCATAATTGAATTTATATGAATAAGTAGCATATACTTTTATAAAAGCAACATTACTATGGCAAACATATAATTTAAAAAAAATAATGAGACTATTTTATCTTAAAATGATTAAATTTTCTTGAAAATTTGTTTTATTATTGAAATTTTTACATTCCTAAAAAATTTCTTGAAATATGAATTCCTGAAACGGGTTACCATTCACTTTATAACTTTCTTCACTCACAACTCTCCAATCTCTTATAAAATCTAGGTGTACACAGAATGAAATTAGAGTAGTCCGTTCTTATCTTAAGACTTTAAGTGATATCTTCAGATACTAATATAGCTTTGTATATTATAATCTTTAGATGTCAAGACTAATTATAGAACTGTACTAGCATCTTAAAGCATTACTTAAGATGGTCTTAAAATAAGAACCAACTATGAATACTATGATTGGTCTATGATTGGTCTTAAAATAAGAACCAACTATGAATACTATGATTGGTCTATGATTGGTTTATGACATACGACTGTGCTTAAAACAGTCTTAAATGCAATCAACTATGAATATATACTGGTGATCTTATGAATTGATTTCTCTTACATCAAACTTACAAAGCCCCATGTATCACGCTATGAAATAATTAAATAATTTATAAAATTGTGTGAAATATAACTGAAAGGACCTACTTAGGAAGATTTACAAAAAACTTTTTTATCTACATTAGAACTCCATTTATCCGAATATATCGAGAAACAAGACAATTTGATAATTGAATGGTTCAGAATGTTCAGATTAGAGTAACTGAAATCGAACTCCTATTATGGTTCTTATTAGTTCGGATAATAAGAACTCGACTATGAGTTCGTATATTTAGAATTAAGCATGAACTTGTTTATATAAACAGAGAGTTCTACTATATTTTTTATCTCTAATGACGAATTTAATATATTTGATAAATAAAATTATTACGAGAGGACAATATTTTACTCCACTTAACATAAAATTTCTCATTTATAATATGTAATTTCCAAATATTAATATTTTTTGTATAAATTTCCATTTTTTCATCATTACAATGTTCATATATCACTTTGCTCAAAAGCAACTTTTCTCACTGTATATTTTTCATAATCTGTTTTTAGGTAAAACGGACACACCACCTGTAGAATGTTCATCACGCAACTCGTTTATTGAACCAAATATACAGAATTCCGATGCAGATAGTATAACGTCTGAATATACTCGGGATAAAGCTAGCTCGACTATAGATTTAAAGGTAGAAATACATAGGAAAAACAGTTCGGAAAGCTCGGAAGAAGCTCAACAGCTTAGTAAACCAATGGTAACCAGCATCAACGTGCACGAAGCTGAATTAGTTTCTGCGCAATATCACGAACCACGTTCTAAGAATATTATAAATGGTAATTCTCAACTGTATGTAATAGTATATGAAACGATTAAAAAAGAGAAATAATTAGGATTAATGTTCATGTGTAGAATGGAAATTGAAGAGGCAAAAGTGTGTGGTAATAGCAGAGGAAGATCGACCGCGTAAATTATGTCGACGTTCATCTGAGGAGTTCAGAAATCGACATTCGAAGCAAAGCAATCTTGGTAAAACGGGATCCGAAAGCCAGATAAAGCAAACCAGTTCGTTGGAATTGACAAATCATCGTCATATCGGCGACGATTATCCATATTGGATGTTAAATCGGAGCGTTCGCAGACTCAACTCCAATTCCATACCAAAAACACGTTTGACGAATGATCATCCACAAAGTTTAGAAATCATATCAAAAAAGGGAGATACGGACAACAATAAGATCTCGTCTCATCCACAATCCTTAGAGGTAAATCTCCCTTACAAATCTTAATTGAAATATATTAAATGAAAAAATTAAAACAATGTTAAATAAAAATCTCATAGTTAAATAACATAATTGAATGTAATTTTGCAATCTTAAACGATTTGTTCCTAGCAAGCATTAAAATGTATTGTATTAATACTTTGTAATGTAAAAGTATCATTTTAATTCTAAGGTTATTCCCAAAAAACCGCACCAGCAATTAGTACATCCACAAAGTCTCGAAACAATTGGCGCTACTAGTAAAAACATAAGTAACACCGACGACAATAACCTGCCACTTCATCCCCAGAGTCTTGAAACAATTAATACCAAAAAGGTTTGGGCAATTTGTTTTATATGAAATATTTTATTGCGACTGTTTTTTTTTCTATAAAAGGTGCATATTTTCTGAAATTAAATGTTGAAGGTCTTACCACAAAACACACTGAAGAGAAATCAGCTACAGTTACAACTCTTACCGTATCTTAGTTTCGGATCCGAGATAGTTTATCCGATAGCGGAACAGAGTGACGAACAATTTGCTAATGAAAGTTCAGAAGAATTCAGCCTTTGTGATTCCTACAGTCCATTACTGACACGAAAAAACATAAATGATGCAAGCGCTACGTCTACTCGAGACAGAAGTCTTAGCGCTGGCAGATTTGAAGATAGATTCTCAAGGTATATATATACTAATGTGTATCATTAAATATAATGATCTCTCTAATTAAATACATCAACACAATCTTATTCACATTAGCATTATCTTCTTAGGTTCAACGACGACAACGGAATAGATAATAACTCTGCAAATTCTCGAGATGCTTTATTAGAAGAGTCCAAATCTAGAGGAGTTAAAAGGAAATACAGCAACGCCAATCAGAACAATCATGAGTTTTCGGACGGTGAAAAGAGCAAAGAAAAACAGCGAGATAAATCGAAAAACACGGAAGATCCGCTCAACTCAGGGAGCATAATCGGAATAGATTGGTTGTTCGAGAGCGGAGATTGTTCGGGGGAACCGTGGACAAGTAAGAGTAAGTTCAACGTATGGAAATGTACTGATTTTTTTTTGTAGGTAAAAAGTGATCTGGTCGAATTATTTTTTGCTATTTGCAAGCTTATATTGTTACGTTTTTCTAATTCGTGCTGCCAGTATTTTGGACTTTCACTCGCTCTGATGATACGGATACGTCAGAAAGCCTACAGACGGCTAGTACAGATTGTAAGTTGGACGCACTATAAAGTTAGGTTTTTCAATCGCGTTGGGGAAATCACTGAATCAAAGAATATTTGAATACAATACTCGATTGGCAGATGAGCGTACCGCACATTTAGCGCTTCCACCCAGCTTCGCGCATGATTCTCAATTCACAATGTAATCTTCACAAATAAGAGTTCAGACAATTGATCTTCTAACGTTAATCAAAATTGTAAAATGGATAAGAGCAATACGGTATATTGATTTGCGTAGATCTTCATTCTAAAGAGCCCGATTCGGGATCGTCCAGTACAACGACCCTCAGCATCGAGAACGAGGTAAAGCGGAATTTGCTGCCACAACTGGAGGTGGACAACACTACCAAGCGTCACCAGGGAGCGATTCCCAAACAGAGCCGTCCAAAACCCACCGCGCCGGACGCCGCGGACGACAGTATCGTGCCAAGCGAAGAGCAGCCACGGGGAAATCTTAAACGTTACATCCAAGTGCGACGACAAAGAACTAGGAGGCGAGATACCAAGCTCGAACAAACAAGCGGTTCGAACAACGAATTGAGTACGTTGCTGCCGAGCCCGGCGTCTCCGTTACTGGCCGCGTTACTAAACAATTCCGGTCGAGATCTACCTGGTCAGTCGAACACCACGTCGTCCGATTTGCGGCTCAGTCGCAATTCCGAGAAGCGAACTTTTCGGGCCAGGTACGGACGACTAAAACGACAACCCAATATAGTTCACCGTGCTAGGTCGCGCAACATTGCCAGTCGCGATGATAACGTTGTGCCGTTAACCGCACTGTTCGGCCTGATCTCGAGTGGCGAGTGTCATTTAGCCACTAATCAGAACGACACTTCGGAAGGAGCGGTGCACTACTTTCGCGACGATAACGGTCATTGGTTGGCTTACACCTTCGATGAGAAAGGTTTAGACGTGACTGCCGCTGCTGCGGCAGCGACAGCGACGCAAATACCCGCTAATCCACACAACGAAAAGCTGTTAAATACCTTACTACGTCAGCAACTCAACCAAAATATACATTATGATGCGACTTGGGAACTCGCAGAGTCCCTGAGCAACAGTTATAGCAGTCTGTCACTCAATTCTGCTGGTCTGACGGTGATAATTGACACGCCACCAGTGCTGTCGAGTCCGGCGAGCAATCAGACTAAGACACAGAGCTCACCACCATCAAATTTGATCTCCTCGAATACGGGCAGCTCGAATCAGTGCACACTCGGCGAAAATTCGGAGCGCGAGCAGTTCCATCACACCTTAATCACGCATTCAGACTCGATGGCCGACAGAAATCGTAGACTGCAAAATCTACTGGGTAATCTGAATCTAAATCAATATCATTCAGACTTCGGCCGTATGCCAGTGCTGGCATTGCCCACGCAGGAACCCGACATAAACACCAGTCTGTCATGGAATCGTTTCGTCGACGGTTTGGATGGCTCCGATTCCAAGCCCACACGAACCAGACATTATTACAAATGGAAGATCGGAAGACTGCCACATATTAAAATACGCTTCGATCGTCTCGCCTTGCTAGCTCTGCTCGATCGTAATTTGACTGTGTTTGAGACCATCGTTTCCACGTTTCTGGCGGGTGCGGTCGCGGGACTGGGTCTTCTGCTACTGCAACAGGGCTTCTATCGGGACATCTTCGCGTTCATATTCTGCTTCGTGACAGCCGGCTGCCAGTACTCACTGCTCAAGTCGGTCCAACCCGACGCCGCATCGCCCACGCACGGCTTCAATCGCATCATAGTATTCTCTAGGCCCGCGTACTATATTCTATGCTCGAGTCTCATTTTGATTTTCAACGAGGTGCTTAGGAACTTTAAATCGTCCGATTTTCGGGTATACGGATTGCGCGTCGCCGATTACGATCTCATACTGCAAGTGCGAAACATTCTTCTAATATTTCTGCTCTGCTTTCCAATCATATTTTCATTAGGACTCTTCCCGCAGATCAACACGTTTCTTATGTACGTTTGTGAACACCTAGACATTCATCTGTTTGGCGGCAACGCGACCACCAGTCTGGTGTCATCAGTGTACTGTCTGTGTCGCAGCGTCATCGCAATTCTTATTCTTTACGGATTTGCCTACGGCGCCCTTCTCGAGCCCAAATCCTCACAGCACATCTTATTTTCTATATTTATCGGTCTACTCGTCGCAATATCTTATCATCTAAGTCGATCATCTTCAGATCCCACTGTGATTTGGGACATCCTCAAGACGAATCTATGGCCCTTAGAGATAGGAGATAGATACACGGAGGAGAAGGAGGCCAAAATTATCGAAAACACGTCGTCAGCACAGACACCTGCAGGTGTGAGTTTCAAGGTGGCCAAGAGCAAATCGACTGGCAAGAAGAAGGCCGTGAAGATCAAGGTGAGCGAGCAAATGTCAGACACTGAGCTGGTGGACCCTTTGCCCGAGAAGTTACGCTCGACTGTGAACTCCAGACTGAAGAACGACCTGATTGTGTGCACGGTGATCGGCACTCTATCTTTTGGAATTCATCGTACGACAGTGTTCACCGCTCTGCAACCGGAACTCAACCCGGTGCTATGGAGTATCGTGAGCTGCCTGGGCTTTCTTCTGCACTACGTCGTGCCGCAACTACGTAAGCAGCTGCCGTGGCTGTGCCTTTCAAGACCAGTGTTGCGTAGTCATGAGCACGCACAATTCGAAGTACGCGAACCGGTGAGGATCATGTGGTTCGAGAAGGCTTACGTATGCCTGTGCTTTCTCGAGCGGAACGTGCTCTATCCAGTCGTCTTCCTGGGCGCACTCACGGAATGCTCGTCGAAGATCGCCGACAAATTTGGCGAGAGTGTAGGCGCGCTCATCATTGTTGTATGCGGCCTCAAGTCTCTCAGGTCGGCGTATTCTGACCCGTCCACTCGCTATCTCGTCCTCGTCTTCGCGGTGCTCTTCTTCCAACTCGACTTCAGAAACTTAAGTGAAACCTTCCTGATGGATTACTTCGTCACGGGAATCGCGTTCGCTAAGATCTACGAGCTGTTGCTCAAGATTCGCTTTGTCGTTACGTACATTGCGCCCTGGCAGATTACCTGGGGCAGCGCGTTCCACGCGTTTGCCCAGCCCTTCTCCGTGCCGCATTCGGCGATGCTCTTCCTCCAGGCCGGGATCTCTGCTATGCTCAGCACACCCCTGAATCCCTTGCTGGGTAGCGCGATCTTCATCTCGTCCTACGTGCGACCTGTCAAATTTTGGGAAAGAGACTACAAGACTAGAAGAGTGGACCATTCAAACACGCGTATGTCCTCGCATCTGGAACGCAATCTGGGCGCCGACGACAACAATTTGAACTCAATATTTTATGAGCAACTCACGCGCTCTCTTCAACACAGCTTGTGCGGCGACCTCGCTCTCGGCCGATGGGGAAACGTGGAGCAAGGCGATTGTTTTCTGCTCGCGTCGGATTACTTGAACTGCTTGGTACACATAGTCCAATTAGGTAACGGACTGGTGACGTTTCAATTGAGAGGTCTTGAATTCCGAGGAACATATTGCCAGCAAAGAGAAGTGGAAGCAATCTCAGAAGGTATCGAGAATAATGACAATTGCTGCTGCTGCGAAATGGGCCATATGTCGAATGTACTTAGCGTGAACGCAGCCTTTAGCCAACGTTGGCTCGCCTGGGAAGTTGCCAGCGCCAAATACGTTCTAGAAGGTTACTCGATCTCTGACAATTCGGCAGGTTCTATGCTACAGGTGTTCGAGTTTCGCAAAGTACTGGTTACTTACTACGTCAAAAGTATCATCTTTTACGCCGTGAAATCATCCAAGTTGAAGCAGTGGTTAGAAAATCCAGACATTATTCACGCGCTGAAACCCACGCTCGACAAGAACTTCGTCGACCTCGATCCCGTCTTCAATGTAAAAATCGACGAGGATTTTGATTTCCGAACGAGTGGCATCACGCGGAGCAACTTCTGCAATGTTTACCTCGACTGGATACAATATTGCGCTGGTAAACAAGATAAGGTGATACATTGGTGACATTTGCATTACTTCGTCACCTTAATATTATAATACAACTCGTTACTTTAATAATTTTGCATTGTCTTTGTATATCGGCACTTTAAAATAAATCAAAAAATATTTATTAAATCTTATCAAATACAATTACCTTTTAAGTGCTATAAGTAGCCAGATGAAGAATTTGAATCACGTTAGTTTAAATTACAAGATGTAGCTACCTTATTTAGTTATACAAAAGGAAACATATTAAATTGTTTAAAATTAAAGTATTACAATTGTAGCATTAAAGTGACGATCTACTCGTATAATTCACAATCCCTCCGAAAATTATTTCTCAAACTATTGTGTGTTTTCCAGTCGTTGGATAGAACACGTGATTCGTATCTCGTGTCTCTGTGCCTTTCATTAAGTCTACTGGGAAGACGCGTATTAGGCGCTGCGTCTCACAACACATTATCAAACGTTGAATTTTTTCTCTATGGATTGCACGCGTTATTTAAAGGTATAATACTTTATAGCAATTATCCATGAATTATTTAATGTATATTTTTTTAAACTTATATATATATATATATATATATATATTCGATGACAGGAGATTTCCGGATAACATCGTTTCGCGATGAATGGGTGCTGCTTGATGTCGATCTCTTGCGCAGTGTAGTCGCGAAGGGAATAAGAATGGCCTTAAAACTCCACCAGGACCACTTTATGAGTCCAGAACAGTACGTCGAATCAGCGGCGCTCTACGAAGCCATCGACAATCATGATCAGAATCTTGTTATCAGTCACGAAGCGGATCCGCTTTGGAGAAATGCTGTATTAAGTGGAGCACCCAGTCTGCTAGCACTCAGGTTTCTATCTCGCAAAATGAAAATTGTGGAAATACTGCGTAGCAATTAAAACTTTCGACATTTTCAGACATGTGCTTGATGACGGCATAGACGAGTACAAAGTGATAATGCTCAACAAGCGTTACTTGAGCTTCCGAGTGATCAAAATGAACCGCGAATGCGTCCGTGGACTTTGGGCTGGCCAGCAACAGGAACTGGTGTATCTGAGAAACAGAAATCCGGAGCGCGGCTCGATACAGAACGCTAAACAAGCTCTAAGAAATATAATCAACAGTTCTTGTGACCAACCGATCGGGTATCCGATTTACGTCTCTCCTTTGACGACCAGCTACGCTGAGACTAACGAACATTTGTGCTCGATAATCGGAGGGCCATTGACTTTCGGTACTATAAAAAGCACTGTGTTGAAACTATGGAGAAGGTACGTATTTAAAATGAAGATCTTATTTCAAACCATATGATTCAATTTAATTTTAAATAGACAACACAATAAATTTATCTCTGAATCTGATAATTGAACTTTGCTCATTTTTAGAATAAGAAGGAGATGTGGTCAAGGTTGTTCCTCGGGCGGTACTGGTTCCCAAGATGATGGAGGCTTCGGAAATGATGGAGTATACGCGATGACTACATACAACATACACTCTGGTATTTACAAATATCTATTTGATAATTATCAATGTTATTGCAATAGACCATCAATCCCAACAACAATCTCATATTTATGTTACATTATTCTTACATACATAATTTATGAATGATAGGCTATACTCAATCGGGTCACAACACTTCCGGTTCTCAATCAATGGAGTCTGGCTGTCAAATCGGCGGTTCGACTGGTCGGGGTTCCCTCGGTCGTGCAAATACGGGTTCTCTCGGTGGTAACAGAGGCTCGCTAGCTTCCGTCGGGAAGCCAACCAGCTCGACACTCGCCAGTTTGGCCGGACTTCTCAGTAATAATGATATTAAAATGGAGACGAAGAGCGAGACGAGTTTCTCCAGCAAGCTAGAAAAGGAGGAAGTTTTTCAAAGAGTTCGCGTAAGTATCATAGCGTCATATGCATCGAGTTTATATCAACTTATTGTAAATTATATGTAAAAATATCTTAGTGTCAACCACATCAATTCATTAGTCATCGAATTAATAAAAAATGAATTGTTTAAAATTATATTTGTTTTATTCAAAATTCAAGTGTTATAGCTTTATTATTTGAAACTTTTAATCGCTATCTGATTCCATAGTATTATTGGTAGATTTATATGAAAGAGGTAGAAATATTTTATAAAAATATACGTGAATTTTATTTTTATCGTTAATGAGGCGGTTTTTCTTGAACAGATTATGGACCCTAATCAAGTATATGACGCCATTAATTTGGGTCGACGTATAGATGTGATTTGGCCGGACGAAAGGATGCGACAGCAAGGTGGTCGTTCCGGCTGGCAACATTGGGTACCAGAGAGAGGCATGGAGGGTTGCGTAGTTCATCGCTGGTCGCCGAATCATCGCGACCCCAATCGACGATCGCATGTCGACAAAGTCATCCTGCTCGTGAAGATCGAGGACAAGTATGTGCCCATAGCCGAACAAGGCGTACGCGATCTGGGAGCGGAGGTTTAGCATAACATCTCCGAAACGCGTCAACACACAGTCATCATTTTTGTACACTTGTTCTACCGACCTGCAGACTTGCGGACGTATTCCATACGTATCGACTGCTGGCCATCAGCAGTCCGATTTTCACTCGAAAGTCTCGCCTGGCATCAACAAAACACGTGGAAATTAATGTCTAATGCGAAATGTATCATACTGACAATGTCGAACACTAGTTACCTACTTCCACGAAGTCAATACTCGCCATTAGATCGTAAATTGAAGGACTCGGATCAACGACATGCTCAATCACGTGAGATCCTTAACTTATTTCGATTAACAAGTTTCACTGTGGTTACAGTCGCAACGTTTAGCGTCTCGTTTCTCCTACTTTCTTTTCAGGGTATCGAAGAATTTGCGATATTTTTCACTTATTTCGCTATAAGATTGTCCGTGAAACTTTCTTCGTGTCTTTCTCCTAGCATGTTGTTGCCGCAAACCCCTTCGATTTGGTCTCATTTTTATTGATATTGTACTTAGAAGTTTTACAGATACGATTCTATAATATTCCTCGTCAGATTCAATGTCCTGTTCTTTTCATCTTGATCGTCATTGAATCGCTAAAGTTTCGGACATTTCGATGCGAAACTCAAATATGTTGCAAGAATTGTAGAGACTGTACAGAGAGAGAGGAGACAGAGAGATACATACAAATATTTTGTCACCTTGTAAGTACTATGAATACATATATTGTTATTTCTCACGAATTGCATGAGAAGATAAAATGCCAATCGCCAAGTTATTCAATGCAATCCGAATTGTATCATGTTGTACCATATATACTGTATATTAAAATATGATGATATATTAGTTCATTTATGGGACGGAACAGATGTTACTTGTTGCCCAATATATCTAGATTATTTACTATCGGTTAATAGATAGAAAAGGTAGCGTCCGGGCGCATTCCTCTTCCACTAATCTGATGTAAATGCGATATATATTTTTTGGCGGTGAAAGAAAGGATAAAAAGAAAAGAACGAATCACAAAATAGAAGTATATTATTTATGGATATGTAATAATGTATCATATAGACGAGAGGAAACCTCTTTAAATGTACTATTGCTGCATAGCAAATACAACAAGTGGCATCGATAGGATTAATTGTATATAAAAGTGTTATTCGTGTTTTTCTACATTTTGTTACGATTCTCTTTTTTAAAAAGTAAGATCATTGTAGATATATAAATTGTATATACGTCGTTATATGTCGTTCAACGCCGCATTGTCGCAGACTTTAAAGCGTCCAGGATCTATTCTACTTGAGTATACATATAATTTTGCGGGGTCACAAAGTCGCTCTAGCAGGACATATCGGCGTGAACTGAAATAGCGGTGTCATCTCGTTCATTTCCACGTCCGTGCCCATGTACAAAAGCTCTCGAATTTGTGCTTGATATTACTTAATTACTCGCAGGATTGTTAGTCGACAGTGCATTTACGTCCGATGGATATCTCGTTAGATATTATATATTGATGATATCGTATATTGAGTGCACTGATGTAATATTCCATCGGGCAACGAAGTGTATGTAATGTTATCCTTAAGAGAAAGTTACGAATCGTTTCTTTTTTTCTTCTTTTTCTTCTAATTTTGTATATAATCTCTGTAAATCAATTTCTGCTTCACTTGTTTCCTTATAAATGTTATATACGAATTAGAGACGTAGATACTGGTTATTTAAATAATAAGAAACGCAAGGTTGCTTGCAAAAAATATGCTTGAATCTGAAGCACTTAACTCGTTCGTTCGTTATCGTGTAGGAAAAAATATATATGTATATGTATATACATAAGATATATAAATATTCATATATATTTAGTAAATAGAAAAGAGTAATAGTTTTTTGCAAGTGACCACAGAATCACAGCATTGCCTTATCATGGTGTCTTAAAAAGCACCTGACTGATAATGAAAAAGATTATAGCTAGTCTTTTAATTGTTGGTAACACATTTATGTATCGCTTGCTGCCGAAAGATGCAAGGGAGTGGGAAAGGGAAGAAGGGTGCTCTTTCACCAGAGAGTTACGTGAAGTAATAATCTATTATAATCTCTGGCCTACTATATCTTTAATGGACAGTACTTTCGTACACTGATTGTACACAATGATCAACAATAAACGAAGAAATTGAAATCTGATTAGATAATGATTTATCTCGGCTGCACTGCCACGAAGATACACACGTGATTTATGTAGCTGTAAAGTAACTGTCCTCTAGCCTCGAATAACTTATTGAAATTAATATATACATTTTGTACAATTTAAGATATTAGCGTACAAATTATCTATTAAACATTATTATTATTATTAATTATATTATTAAACGAAATTAAGTTATATAAAAAAAATATATATGTATATGTGTATATAAAGCGTATTTTAAAAATATGTATCATCATACGTAAAAAAAAATAACGCAATTCGTATCACTTCGGAAATTTATCATTAACGCACATAATTCGTTATCAAGCTGATTCGTCAAGTGATTTTTTTTTACTAGATTTATACTACTTATGTAAATGTAAAGTGAAGATACGAATAGCTATATCGAGTGAAAAGTCGTGTCTATAAAAAGACATATATATATATATATGTGTGTGTGTATGTATATATATATATATATCACAAGTGTTTCATACAAGTGTTTACAGATTTTGCAATAGATTCTAGAATTTTTCTATGGTATAGAAATCTTTCTTTTGAACATTTTAAGGAAAATTTCTAACATCTTTTTGGTCGATTCAAGAATATAGGCTGTTAAATGAGCTCTATATTATAGAATAGCTAAATAGAAGTATAAATATTTCAATATAATATATATAATCTGGACATCAACAGATTTATGAATATTAATACGTATACATTAATTAAGTGATCATTATATTGCCATTTCACACAACAAATATATATATATATATATATATATATATATGTATATCTAAAATTGTTACCCACATAGTGCTTATCTAAGCATGATAAGATAAAAAAGGCCATAATTTTTGGACGAAATAGCTTGAAATGTTATATTCTCTCTACAAGTATGAAAATATATTTAGTTGATAGAGAGAAATGGAAGCATAAAGTATGTATTATATATAATATATTACTATGCTGCCATGACTAGGACTTGGTATCGTTACTTTTTGTAATTATTGGTCCTTCGTGCGTTAGTTTTTGTATTAAATTCTCTATCATCTCGTTGTTGACTAAACCGATAAATTTGTCTACGACTAAGCCATTCGAAATCGCTATCACTGCAGGTACAGCTTTCACTTCGAAGACGTGTACCAATTCAGGATTCTCTTCTACATCAACTATAGCTAGATCTAATTTATCCATAGGCTCTATAAGTTCTATTAACTTAGGTGTCAATATCTTACAAGGATCGCACCAATCCGCGTGAAAATTGACTATAACTGGCACAGTGCCATTCATCACCTTATTCACAAATTCGCTGTTATTATTTATCTCGTACCGCTTATTATTTTGGCGAAATAATGAAATACGTCTCACCACAGACGGTATGCAATTTCTTATACTGCACAACATTGTTCCTTCTTTCTTCTTTTTTCTTTTTAATATGATGTATAGTACAGATGAATGGTCGATGACTACTACGTTTATGCGAGATGAACTTTACATTTATAAATTAAGTCTTGCACATATTGAACTTCTTCATGCTTGTCGGCGAGCAAAAGTACCTAAAAAGAAAATTGTTACAATAGTCAATCATATATAACAATGCAATATTTAACTTTTAGAAATACTATCACTACATATAAATTTCAATTTTACCATGATGATAACATCATCCTTACATTATTGATTTAAAGTATACTGAAGATATTCCCAAAAGAGAGAACCCAAGTGGTTATTCTAACTGGTCTAACGCCTCTCACCAATCCGAATTTGATATATCCCACAATCGAAATTATGGATGAGATAAAACACACAATCAAAATTATTATACGCCAGATGAAAAGTCGGTCGTACACCTAAAAAAACAAGGATCTATTTAGATATGTGAATACTCATAATCAGTTACATAATTTCTTTAAGATATAAATTATCTTATTCAATGTTACGCTATTTTTATCCCAATAACTATTTTATTTACATCTGATAATAAAAGATAAATTAAATTGCAACAATTATAATCTCTAAAATAAGGTCTATTATGGAAGTAATTTTAAAAAATTCCAGATTCCGAAACGACTTTTGCAAATTAGGTAACTTTTAGATAACTTTCGTAAAGTATATTAATTAATGAAAGCAATTTGTGTCCATAATTCATGAAGTAATTTAGACAGATACTCCAAATTCCGATTAACTTAAACGATGACTAATTAGACAGTTGCTCCCAGCAAGGTTTCTGATTATATTATTCGACCTTCCCAACCAATTTTTTAAACAAAAAACTGCTAATTTCATTCAGGCTAAGAGGACATTTATAGAAAATAGGTATTCGAAGGAGCTAATCGGGGTTTAATTGAGTGCGTTTATCGTAATCTGATTAAATGAATGAGTCGGTCGGAATGTCTACAGAGAGTACGGTGAATATTCAATCGTAAATCCTCTCACAATCCCTCCCAATAAAATTTCTCCGGTCGTACCTTATTATCCGTGGGAACGGGCCTCTCTGACGCGCGCGGCACTTTGAGCAAGATATACGTGAATGCGCTCACGAGCAGTATTGCGATTACGCAGACCCAGCCGATCTTCCTTTCGATGCGCAACGATATCAGGAATATCAGCGCGACCAGCACCCACAAAGTAAGAATGGAAAATAATCCCACGCCGACGCCAAATATCAAGGTTGTCATACCTCCGGGAAAAAGAACGGGAGGACGGTGCGAGAATTGTCATCAGGACGGGGACGTATATTTAGCTTTTTGACTATAGTGTATGTTTTATACACTACAGGATGGTAGATGACGTTTGCAGCTGACCTGAGCGTTTCGCCACCTGTACATTTACAGAAATCTGTAAAGAAATAACCGCAAGGCTGACGTGTATTTGAAATACTTTTATTTATAAAACACAGTATTTGCAATACAAGCGTATTTTGTATTTCAGCGGAATACATTCCTCAGAAATTTAATACTAAATATACTAGCCAATATATATTACTTGATCTTATTAATAATAAAATATATATATAATCGCATTATTTTCAATATTAAAAGTACTGTTCATAATACTTTTTAATATTCAAAGTATATGATTAATTGGTCAATTATACTAGTATATATTAATGAATTTCTACAAAAAAGGAATGAATATAATTTTATATTTAAAATCGAAAGATTGAAAATTTTTTGTATTTTGTATTCAAATAATAATATTAAGATTGATTGTTAATTTCAATATTTGAAATACAAAATGCAAACAAACAAAATACAAAATATTTTTATATGCTCCACAATATCTCGCACTTCAATCATGGAACAGATTTTTAAATCTGTAAAGAAGAAAAAAATAATTATTGTATACAAGAATTGTGGTTTAGTCAATAATACGATTTTAGAATTCCTTTAATATTAATAGATATAAAAATAATAAACAATAATAATTTTTATCGAGGGACAGTATATTAACCAATTACATTTTGTTAGCCGCACATTGCAGGGATCTGTATTACCGACTCTCTATCGATCAAACAAATATTCACTAATGCCTATTTCCACCAATGTAGATTAACTTTAATCTTGGTTCAACTTATTCTTTATCTTTTTTAATATTTAGAATTAGAAAAAGACGAAGAGTAAGTTGAACCGAGATTAAAGTTAATCTACATTGGTGGAAACGGGCATAAGCCGTCGATATAATAGAACGCTTCTTTAATCCGTCTATCTAATGTTTGTATACAAACGCACAGTAGATGTAAAGAAAATCCCGAAGTTTCGAAGTGCTTCTTTTGAATTGTTTCGTTTACCGGAAAAAGATGAATGTAGATCTTTTAGAATTTACCAAGCAGACCGAGACGATATTGTGCGGCGTGGGGGCACAGAATTTAGTAAAGGAGTGCAAAAAAAGGAATATATCAACTAACGCGTTGCACAGATTGACCAAGGAGGATTTTGTGCAACTTGGTAATATGTTTATTCTGACAACCGTTTGATATTAGCACCTTCTATTTACCAAGATTTGAATTGTTGCAATTAATACATTATGTATAATATTTCTGTTAAAAATCTGTAAAAGTACATTATTAGGTTAAAATTTAGAAGTTCTAGAAAAATGCCATGTGAAGGCCCGTCTACAATACACGGAGTAAGAAGTAAGAGTAATAAATTGACCAATCACAGTCGAATGTGAGAAGAATAATCGACTGTGATTGGTCAATTTCTTACTCTTACTTCTTACTCTGTGTATTGTAGACGGGCCTTGAATTATAACTTAATTCGGCATGCAGGATTGGATGTATATATAAAATTCACACTGAATTTAAGTATTAAAACTATTTAAGACTTTCATTTTCTAGTTGTTATGTATTTACAGTCTTAAAAAATACTTAATACTGGATTATAATTGTTTTAGAATATATTTTCCCAAAAATTTGAAACTTTTGGTAATTAATGAAAAAATCTGAAGAATTAATTCTTTTTCTTTTATAATAAAAAAGCTATGAAGCCTAATTACTTCTAACTTCAAGTATAGTTTATTAGAAGTTTCTATTTGTATGAATTACATATCTGTTGTTACAAAACAAGGTTTATGTAGAAAATTATATGTATTATCATTGTTTCTCACCTTATTTTTTACGATGTGTATAAACATATGCATATATATAAAAGAATGATGATAATAAGGAATTGCTTATAGGTGCGGATGCAGATCAAGCAGAAAACATAGTCAACGCTCTATGTATTTCTAAGAAAAAACAATACAATGTAAAGCCAAAACCTCATTATAGGTATCACACACACCACACACAAATCATTATTAAAGTATATTTTTATATATAACATTGAAATTGAAAAATCCTGTCATTTTTACAGGATACTTGATAAAGTAGAGATACTACAAGTAGGTGAGAAACAGCTCAGTATAATCCAAGATTTTGTGAAGTATTGCAAAATGAAGCTGAAAAAAGAAAAAATCAACTTCTTTGTTGATGCAGATAAGGCTTTGAGTGCTTCTCAAATTCTGTGTATGTCCGCTGAGGCTACTCTCAAAGAAGTCAGTGAGGCTGAGTTGAAATTGAAAGAATTGGAAGCTATGATAATGATAGTATATATCAAAAAATATATTACATATATATATTTCTTCAAATTAAGGAGTTTATAATTAAACATCTATTATCAAGAAATTAACAAACTTTAATGAAACATAAATGAGTAATGAGACACATAGTATATGATCAATGCTGAATGTGTTACTCATAGTGGTCTAGTTTGATGCCTAATAATATTTCTGTGTAAATTTTAGATGCATCTTCCAGTTATATATATCAACTGTGCGCTTATTAGCATTATTATTAAATTGACGATTAATTTGTGATATTATTTCAGATTCAATTTATGATTGCGTTTCAAATCTAACATTAATCGATGCACAATTTATGTAATTGGAAGATGAATTTAAAATTAACATAGAGAAATATTATTAAGCGCCAAGATCCACAATCTCGATCGCATTTAACGCATTTTTTACTTAATTATATTATATAATCGATCTAATTTAACTTTATTATTATTTAATGACACATCTTATTTTATCTGACTATTTTTTCATTCATTTTCAGAAATGCCTAAACTAAATTTTTTTCTTTCAGCCTGGAAACAGCCGAAAATACTCTTACATTTTGTATAGCATTTCATTCGGCGGATTCTGCGTTGCAGCATGCATATTATTAAACAGACTTTGGAGATAAAAGATTTATAGTATTAAAATGCATAGGTTATAAAAAAAAACTGATATATGTATGATAATTCTTTTATTATCGTAAGTTCATAAGTCATACAAACAAATTTTTTATATACTTTATAAACATGTGCCATAAATATATATTGTTAATAACATGTTTCAGAATAAGGATTCGTTTTAATTAACGTACCATTCACAGTGTACCTAAAATCCCAGGAAAATTTCAATCACTGTCATGTCTATTTCCATCAATATAGATAATCTTTAATCTCAATTCAACCTATTTTTCATCTTTTTCTAATTCTTAGAATTAGAAAAAGATGAAGAGTCAGTTGAACCGAGATTAATCTACATTTTGGCTGCGTTCAGCAGAGAAAGCAACTTTGCAGCTGTTGTGAAGTTCTTTTATATGATTAGTCTTACCTTTAGTTCCCCTCACTGAATCTAAATAAAGTCATGTCAAAAAATTCTACAAATTGTAAAGCTCTCTCTGCTGAACGCATTGATTATTGAAACGGACATCAGTTATTTATATAAATTCAGAATTTACTTAAAATGAACCGGCATAATTGGATTTAATAAATTCTTGTCCTTTTCTCAAGACAGAACCGGAAATAAGTAAATCCTTTCCGCTTCGGTGTACCATCCCTTTTAGGGATAAATTCGAACGGAGGATGAGGAAGTCAAAGGGTCCGCGCATATATAGGAACAAATCGCGATGAAAATCGAAGAGAGCCTGCGGACAAGTCGCGACCACGGCTACGAGGAAAGTCGAGAGGGGTGTATAGGGCTCGTTCGAAGATTATGGCTATGGGGGATTTCGGGACGCAACGGCACGGCACGGCGCCGGATCCGCGTACACACCCCCGGGGCCGCCGTCGAAGCGGCGAACGCATGCGCATGCGCTCGGTCGCTGCGTGAGCTTTGAAATCTCCGCTTCAGTCGCACTAAGATGGACGGCGGAGCGTACGGCGGTGGAAAGGCCGGGGCCCCTTTCGATCCGATCGCGTTCGTCCAGCGGCCGCAGGTCATTCTGAGAGCGTTATGCCTGGTAAGTCGTCGCAGCCTCCTGAAAGCGGGATCGTTTCAAGGTCGATTCAAGAGCGTGATCGCGACGACGACGGTGCCGTGCGTAAAAAGAGAGAGAGAGAGAGAGAGAGAGAAAGAGGGGGAGGGAGCGAGAACGAGCAAGATCCCTCGACGCGGATGGTCATTGATTTTAAAAGAGAGCCTCGGCTCCTCCCCCACTGCCACTACCACGATGGGGTTTTATTGATTTTTCGCGAATTCCAGCGGTACGCACTCGTGCACCATGGATCTCCATGGTGTTCGATGTATAATTGGGAGCCGTTGCTGCTCGATTCGACGGAGCGAATCATTTATTTGACCTTCCTCACGAATATATCTCGAGCGAAATGCGGAGCTCGGATCGCGGACCTCTCCCCGCATTGGCCGCATTGTCTTCTTGACAGCGTTATTATAACTAATGAATTTCATCCCATTCGTCGTTTCTCTGTCTTTCTCTTTTTCTTCTCAAAAACGCTTATTTCTCCCGTATTATATAAATATAGGGGAGCAGTGGTTGAATATGCAAGGCACCTGCAGCCAGAGCATGTCAGCTCAAGATTCGAGATATTTTAAGATTGGAATCATATTTGGAAAAATATTGAAGATTTTGGACTAGCATATATATTTATGTTAAATTGAATTTTTAATAGATTTTTGTTGATTTCAAACTCTCTCTCTCTCTCTCTCTCTCTCTCTCTCTCTCTCTCTCTCATGTTTTTTTTTTCAGCCAAGACAGCCATTTTTTTTTCTTCACTTAATTATTATTTATATATTTTATCAAATATATTACAATAAAATATAAAAATAATTGAAGAATATTAAATATATATTTATAAACTTTTTTTTTGCATTATTTTTGCTAAAGTATTGGGTTTTAAGCTGCTGTCCTTTCAAAAGACACAGTTGATAGAAACGTCATTTTTATCCTTCTTGGCATTCAATGAATAACAAAGATAGAACGACTCTATCTTCTAAAAGGAGAATAGCCTTAATTTTTATGTATAGATATTTTATATTTTGTTATAACACAATATATTTTCATTTTCTGAGGCTCTACTATTCTTCATTCATTTTACTGTTCTACAGAAGAATTTTTATCATGCTTCTAGCTATTTGCAATAATCGTGTTTGGATGTATAAGCAGCAAGGGCTATCTTGTGAAAGACGATGGGAAAGAAGTTTGTCTTTACAATGAGGACAATAATGCGTGCAACTATGGGATTGGTATCGGAGTACTGGCGTTTTTGGCCAGTATCGGATTCCTCGCGGGTGAATACCTGTTCGAACAAATGTCGTCCGTCAAGACTAGGAAACATTTTGTCCTCATAGATTTAGGGTAAGCTGTGTATATTTTTACAGTCTAGACGTTGTAAAATTTGTATGATCTTAATCATGTCAAAAGTGTCAATGAAAAATCCTTCGACATATCTTGATACGTAACTTGATATACCATATATTAATATAATATCATAATTACAGTTTCTCTGGTTTATGGTCTTTCCTTTATTTTGTGGGATTCTGTTACTTGACAAATGCATGGAATAATTCTGTAAGACCAAAGGACGGATATGGAGTGAATAATGTACAATCGGCTATTGCATTCTCGTTCTTTTCCATCTTTACCTGGGTACGTTAGATGAAGTCCATGCGGCAAATTTTATTTAATTATTAACGTCTATTTTTAGTTTTCTTTGATTTAAATAAATAAACGATTATGTTCTCTGAATTTTCCTCAGAATGGTATTCTGTCATTACAGGCCGCTTGTGCTTGGTTCGCGTTTCAAAGATTTAAACAAGGTACTGACGCGGCATTCGCTCCAAGTTACGAGGCGGATCCTGTCGGTGGTACAGGATACACAAGTTATCCTGACGCCACTGACACTGCTTACCAAGAACCGCCGTTCGGTCAACAACAACAGCGGGGTATGGGTGACTTTCAAGCCCCAGCTTACTAAAAGTCATCCATAGTCGTACCAAAATGTATTTCCATTAAATGCACAGCGAGCTACTTACGAAAGAAGATGATTTAGGATAATTTTTCAGAAACAAGATATATTGTTTTCCATCACCTATTTTGCTTAAAGGTAATCTCAATATTATTACAAAACTATAATTTCGATACTTTTATTACTCATAATTTCCTGCGTATTGCTATTTTTATTGATACTAATCTAAAAGAAAAACGCAAGATATATATATTCAAATGTATCTCTGGTTCCGATGAATAATGTGCTAAGGTATGTAAAAGATGATCATCAGTCAAGATCTATTTAAGAATCGCCAGTGCGCAAAATTCTTTACGATAAATAGTATTTTAATAAAATGTGTAATAATTACATCAAATTGTATTTTCCTTTACAGACTAAAGAAGAACTTCATTCGCTGATAGGTCGCTGGGCAGCGCGTTGGTCATAGAGTAAGTTTTCATGGCAAGATGTAGAAGGAAGTTATTTGTTAAACTGTGCTTCTTATTGTTGACCACTTGTAAGTTACACTTATCCATACGCCCAATGTCACAAAAAAAAATGCGTTAGGTGTGTTTGAAATTCATATATGCCTGGACATACGTTACGACGGTGGCTACTGACCATCTATGGGAAGTAAATATAATATCTTATAATGAGTAACACTATAGCTAAACTCCATAAATAAGTAAGAATTAGTACATGCACAGGCTATGTATATTTTAACGTTGTAACGTGTTCATGGTAAATGCGACTTAAATATAACAGTAATATTATGCGTTGCATTATTATGCAATTAGTATTAAACGATGTACACGAAGTCTAGGATTGAAATGAGTAAGTCTCGAATAAGTCGACACATGTTTTAATATTAGTGAGACAATATCTAAGTTACTTAAGTTACTTGTCGTATGAGTTGCAAGATAATGGGATATTTCCTTACAGAATAGTGCATTAACAAATATAATTGCACTTATAAACCGCGATGAATAACAAAACCAAAGTTTTTATTAACATTAAAATATATATATATACATTTATGCAAATTATAATAGGCATAACTTCACATAAATTGTCCGTGATGTTAACTTACTAGATTTTTGTATTTGAGTCTATATGTTAACGATTCATTAACATAAAGGGAAAAAACCTATAATTGAACACATCTCAAGAAGTTTATTTTCATTGAATTTTTGTATTCAATGATTTTTTACTTTGCTAAGTATATATGAATCTCAGGAATATATTTTCAATTATTCAGATTTATTTATTTAATTATTTAATAAAATTATTTATTATCTCATTATTTATTACACAAGATGAATATAAATCCCAATATGTACGCTAAGAGTCCTGCATTACTAAAAATATGAAATTACTTCGATTGACGATCATGAGCATTAATAGAAAAAAATGTACGTATATGATGATTTTGAATTTAATAATCCTGAAGGCGTGCGTGTCGTCGAATAATAGAAAATAGCAATCTTGAATTGATAAATTGAGGTAATTTTTTGTTTAGTTATATATATACTTGTATAATTTTAAATTTATGGTTCGAAGCATATAAGTATTCTTTTGTCGCATGCTGCATTAAATAATGTAAACATTATTAAAAACTTATGCAGTAATTTAGTAATCTGAAAAGATTCGAGAGAATTATACATTCTAGGCATTCACGAACTGTACAGTTGAGTATAAGAAATTCTTTAACTTCTGTTTGTGTATAGAAACATGATTTTTAGATATTTGCGTTTATATAGCCTTCCCTCGATCTTTCGGTATATCTAGTTTGCATAACTCTCTTGAAGAGAATACATAAGGTTATGATCCTGATAATTTGAAAAACATAGTTTGTGTAAAATATTACGTGAAATGCAATAATAATCATTATATGTATTCCTGATAGTTCTAAAAATATCATCTCTTTGAATGTGCAGGATTAATTGTGATACGAAAAAATATATTTTCGACATTTAATTGTATTTTATATTTCCTTTTCTTTACGATTTATTGATTTAGACTGCATATTCAACGGGTTGGATTTTTAGATTATGTTCACACACTTCTCAAAATTGATCTCACTTCTTTGAAATATCTTAGCCCTTCTAAGTACATAACTAATAACATTGTTGACTAGTAGCATAGTGTGACATACAGCTCATGTCCACCAAGAGAAGGGTTGAGGCAATAACAAACACAATCTAAAAGAATCTCAATCTTTACCATATAAGAAAGAAACAACGTGATCCGTGCTTTTGATTTCGCCTGTGAAATCAGAGGAAGCGGAACGGGATAATCGTACTTGGCAGAGAATGTAATACTATCAAAAAATATCTACTATAATGCTGTAAAGGAATAAAAATGTGTATTAAGATGTGAGTATCGATAACTAAATATATAGCTGTTGTATTATTGTACTTATACATATATATATACTATATAGATGTATATATATTATGTATATATACATATACATATATATACATCTAATCATTGCATTTAATGCAGTAGCAATGCGTATGCGTCTGTAAAGATTTGAGTGTTTAGGAACGATCTATAATGTAACTTGAAATAGCCAAAATACATATAAGTGATTATTTTTATGCAAGTCCAAATAATTATATGGCAGTTAAGTGACGAATTACGTTTATCTTATGTGATCGCAGTTTACGACTATTCGTTTCAAATTTAATTCGCAATATGTTACACGTATAATATATTATTCTTTTCTTTTTATTTAAATTTATTACAGAAGATGCTCAGCTGTACTCTATGACAGACATACAAATCGCCAGAATTCTTTTTTTCTAAAAGCATACGTTTACATGCATATAAACTTCTAACAATGATGCGTTTCTTTTTAACATGCAAAATATGTAACAATTTATTTGACTTACTGTACACAGTCACTTAAGGCACATATTAGCGACTTATTACGCGAGTACAAAATCGAATGTCGTATCTTCGTTTTAGTTAAAAATATTTTCTGGTAATTTCAAATTTCGTTTTATACACCTGCTACGATTGTATATATAATACATCTTGTAGAATTTATATTTGCAGGGGGAAAAATGCAGGATTTTATTTCTTAATAAATCTTTGAGTGCCTAACATAAAGTACGTTTTTTTCGTATTTTATAGGAAGATACATTCATAACCGATATAAATTACTAATATAATTAATTAAATTCATGTTCGACATACCAATATCCTTCAATTAAACATCTCAATATCTTTCTACATATAGTATTTATTTGTTTCTCGCTAAAAATAACTTATCAAAAATTATGCAAAAATCGCTTCATCTTTTTCTCATAAAATGTTTAATAATAATAAATTACTAATTGCTTAGACTATTTATCTAGTCTAAAAATAATTAAATACAACCTATTAAATTTCTGTTAAAAAATAACGAATAATGTTTGCAGCAGGTACACAAAACTAATTCAATATTTCGAAAAATATTTATTTCATTTTTTTAAACTTCTTGTTCTTCTCTTTATCTAATGTTTTGTATTGTTCTTCTAATTCACTAACTATACTTGGTACATGCTCCATAAGCTGTTCGTTGGTTAGTTTAAAGTCCGTATCGATCCATATCCTTTTCAGTTCAATTAGGACGTTGCCTATCATCTTTTTCATTGGCACGTATTTTATCAACATGTTGCCATTGATAGGAAATTTCGGAATTACCCATTGTTCAAATTCGTCCAGAAGCTGCATTGCACCACAATATCTCAATAACTCCTTCACATCTTCTTTGAGGATATCGTATCTCTTTATTTGTTGAAGAAGGACCAGCTGCTGATAAGGCTTCAATGGTTTCTCGCAGGACTTGCATTCCCTATGTTGAACCAGGAAGATCGCCAAATCTCTGTCGGAATTAGACAGTTTCAATCTCTCGTGTAATTTTAACACCTCATATTCATCCTTCAGCATCGATACGATCAAGGATATAGGCTTCAAAGTCACATTATTAGATTGCGCCCGCTCATAAATTTTTCGAAAGTTCTCCACGTCGGGTTCTTCGGGTAGACCGATGTATCTGTTGCTACCGCACTCGAGCAACTTTAGGGTCAATTCCAGGGCAAAAGTGCCGCTTAGAATCTTGTTCCATTCGCTCCAAATCCTCTCGCCGGATATCTGTTCCAGACCGCCAATGTTTTCTTTTAACGCCGTTATCGTAGCCTCGTCATGCTGATCTGGACTGTCCATTATTCTTCCATAGAAACGAAAATACCTGGTACCAGTAATCAGACAATGCAAACCTTACGTAAACGTCTCAAAGATTCGGTGTAACTATTGATATACAAGGTTCATAATATTGCTACATATATTAATTGTGATAAATTTTGCAAAAATGTATATAATAAACAGAGGATAAACTAAATAATATGAACACTTGGAAAATACACTATTTTTTACTATTTATTTCATGAATAAGAGATTGGCCTATCATTTACTTTTAATACACATTCTATCTTTATTGAAGTGTTACACGATACTTGAATAGTTATCAATGGAATATTATACTATTATTTTAGTATAACATCTTTCAATGGGTCCGTTTGCGTTGCTTGCACTAATTGCACTTGCTATCTCCGTTTTCTCTTTCCTCAATATTCGAATATATATTTATCTCGTTTTAAGTGCATAAATTTTTGGAAATTTCATGCAACGCGAAAAGACTTAATTGCTCCTATGAATTGGAGGAAGAAATTTTTCTCTATTCTTCCAATTATTCTGTTTTCCAGAACTCTAATATTTTTCCTAGCTAATGCAATTGCCTGATTTAGTATCATTTATAGTTTTAAAGAGCAGAATGACAAAGAAATTTTAATACACCATCCAATCTCTTTCTTTCTTGTTCCAATATCTTTCAAGCAATTAAAATTTCTTCTGCTAGAACAGTATAATATTGCAGTTGCTACACTATTCAAGCATATATGACTCTTTCAACAAGAATAGAATTTGTATTAAAGACCAAATGATGAGCAACTTTTTATTAATAAAACAAATCAATTTGGTGTTTTCCAGCAAGAAACATAGTATACACACAGTCATTGTATCTTTGTTTAACAGTGGCAAATCACAAGGATTTAGTAATTCACTATGTCATCTGTCTCTTGCTGGAAAGGACTTAACATTTCTCAGGTGTTCATATTATTTAGTTTATCCCCTGTACATATACATTAATAGTACGCACCTTAAGATTCTAAGATAATCTTCTTGAATCCTAACACTAGCTTTGCCTACAAAAACTATCCTCTTCTTTTTCAAGTCATCATAACCATAGAAATAATCATACACCCTGCCGTCGAGGTCGAGGAACATGGAATTGATGGTCAGATCCCTCCTGTTAGCGTCCAACTTCCAGTCCTTTGTGAATTCCACCTGTGCATGCCGTCCATTGGTCAGAACGTCGATTCTCAGAGTAGTGACCTCAAAGTTCTCCGTATCGTTTAGCCTCGCCGTGATCGTTCCATGCTTTTCACCCTTCTCGTTTATCATCCTGATCTCCTCGCTCGTGAACATGTCCTTCATCTGCTGTGGCGTGGCGTCAGTCGCGAAGTCCAGATCCTTAGGCTGCTTACCCATCAGGATGTCGCGCACCGCGCCGCCGGCGATCCTTAACTCGTAATTATATTTCTTGAACAGGCTTGCGAGTTTCTCCAATTCCGGGGTGAAGACTGAACGAAACTCCGGGCTGTCCAGCTTCATGACGACAGGGTCGACCCTCGACAGTAGCTGGTCACCCATCCTGGTTTTCCTCCAGATTCTCTCGTGTATTCTTCTAGTTAGCCCGTACTTTCTCACCTGCACGGCAACAAAAACGGCTGTTACCTATTTGTTACGCGTATCACTTCCCCGTGTTCGCTCGCCGGAGAAGTACTTTAATACCTGGTTCCACTAATGTAGGATTAACTTAAACCTTAATTTAATTTATACTCTTTAATTTTTTTAATTCTTATGATTAGAAAATAATAAACGGTAAAAGTTAAACCGAAATTAAAGTTAATTTACGTGGTGGAAACGGGCATTGACGATGTCGATCTAACATAACCTAACTTTTAAATTCCCATTTCGAGGAGATTAACGATCATTCTTTACTTACGGTAATAATATCGCGGCAAAGGAGATTTATCGTACGCTGTGCTAATGCATTTAACATAGCGCTTACATGCGTTGGCTTTATTTTCGTACGTAATTTCAAACGCACGTGTCACGAACGAACATGCGATCAACCTGTTCCCCTTCAGCTTATGTGATGGTTCGGTTTGTCATCACTCATATCATCTCAAACTCGACAGACTCGACTACATTTTACGATTTCAGTTACCGGTATTTGGCACAGCGTAGCAAATGTACTAATCTTCTTTTCGTTGGCTTACGTTTTTTCGATATTTTATATTCGTTCCTAAAATTATACCTTTGGTCTGCTTTTTAATTATATTTTTTTTGTGCGTATATAAAAATATGTATTTATGCAAAATACAGAAATAAATAATAATCTCTAATGAAACTTATATATCACAAAAAATATGTTAAATTATAATATATGTAAATTAAATAGTTTATATATAAAATCAATTAAATTATATAATAAATAAATTCATATTATTTATAAATTACACAAAAAAGAGAGAGAGAGAAATACAGAAATATAAAATAAAAAATATTCAAATTCACAATTTACGTTAGCTTTCTTATTTATCCTTCAAATTATAATTTCTTGGAAGATGCGAAATAAATAGGATTTATGTCAGTCTACCAATTTTTAATTTTAATCTCGATTCAACTAATTCTTCATCTTTCCCTAGTTCAGAAAAAGATGAAGAGTAACTTAAACTGAGATTATTAAAGTTAATTTACATGAGTAGAAACAGGGATTAGATTGTCTAAAGTTAATGTATATTTTTTTCTCCTAGAAACGCCGAGATGAATTTTTCGAAGGATTTTTCTTGTTTAATCTCTCATGTTCTGGGAAAAAAGATCAATTCACATAAATACAATTTTAAAATATCATTCGAAACACACACACACACACACATACAAGCAATTGCAGAAGGGGATGCTAAAATGACCAAATTATCGACATTACAGTTGTATAAAAATCTCTAAATTGACTGAACGAAATCAAAAATTTTTTTACAGGATTAAAGTAAACGCAAAATTAGGAAGTAGTGCAGTAGACTTTATATGAAAACCGAAAAACTTAAAAACTTTACTTAACGTTTTTTCAATTTTAATATAAAGTCTGCTGCACCATCTCCTAGTTCTGCGTCTATTTTACTCCTGTACAAAATTTGTGTTACAAATTTTTGTAAAAAATGTTTTATACGACTGTACTGTCGATAATTTGGTCACTCCAGCATCCTCTTAAACCGTTTAATAATAGAAAGGCTTAGTTCAGAAAGATAAGGCTACAATGACATTATATGTATTAATTGATGTTTAATAATGATAATCCATAAGTACGTATCAACTTCATAGAACGTTGATTCGCCAGTACGAATTGAATGAGCAATTCAATAATATTAAACTCTTTATTCTTCATTCGTTTATGTACATTGCTATTTAGTACAAAAGAGAGTTCATGCACACAAGAATTAACGACAGTTTAATTAACGATGGATTTAACATCATTTTATTGATGCAATGACCAATGATATAATCATTATGTTATTAATATCGATGTGATCACTGATGATATCTTCTATGATACGGATCGTCACACATGCTTCGCTTAAATTCACCTCAGCCAATGTCGTACGTTTTTTATATAATATATTTATAAGTACCTGTATACGTTCCAAAGAGGATGTAATTTTCGCTGTCTTGCGTAAAAAGTATAAAATCTATCCATATGTAGTGTATAAGCGTACAATCCGATCGTAAAATGTGTATAACAGAATTTTATACGGCAGCTAATACAATATGCATTTTTATTAATTGCAGATAATACGTACGTGTATTTTATGTAATGGTATTTGCCGAAATTAGGATTTTCACGGCGTGTCATTAGAAATATGAAGTTATTCACGAGACATTACTTCAGCATTAATTTATTCTTATCGGTTGAAAAAATACTTATGTGCTGACGCTTAAAACGAACACGATTGTATCCTATGAAGGTATGTAAAAGTTTTTTCCGTTATATACGTTACTTTGTTACAGATTCACTAGCGCTTTATTACACTGCGTAAATTGATTATACACTATTGTTTCGATACGTTATACAGTCTGCACTTTGGAACATCGAGTACCTATTAAAGAAAAAATAAAAACAAAAAACGCCGTTTCCGCAGCGATCATCCTGTCTTCCTACAAGTAACATACGTAGGTTCACGTCTCGCTTATTCTCAACGAGGTCATCTAATTCTGTATCTTATTATTAATATCATATCAAGTAAGTTATCAATTATCAAGATTATATATATATATGTATATATATATATATATATGTAATGTGATCATATATGTATGTATATACATGTAAATAACGGCGGCATATCATATGAACATGATATGAGCCGCGTTTACTGCTAAATAAAGGCGAGACATGAATACGGGTTACAATGTTTATAAGACAGTATTGTTTTTTTTTTTCTGAAAAGCGGAACAGGCTGTTAAAAATTGACGTCTTAAAAGTCTCTTTTACATATCGGGCGTACAGAATCATATAAGCATAGTACAACGCAACTTATATCAATTTTACATACAGGGACAACATCCGGCATTTTTATACATGATTTATCTACATTTGAAGTCGCTGATCGGAAATGTGTTTTACTTTGTATGTTGTTTTATCTTCTGTTTATATAATATGAATAAAGTGAAACAAGGTGCCGCACATATCTTGTACTCTCGGAAACATACTTGTTGGTAAAAGATCTCAGCAGGCCATTTTTCGCTTATATAAAGGTTTAAGAATCTACCTTGATTTAAAGATCTATTAATTTTTTTACACTGCAAGTTGTTGGGAAAATACACCTGGCCATTCGTTTCCTCTTTCATAAATAGCGATTCAAATTGCTTGAGCGTTCTTTCGTTATTCATTTCACTTTTTTGAATGACGCAATCACACTCTAAATTATAACCTTATCGTACAATAATATTTCCTAGTTAGTTTAGCAGAGGATCGTTGATCGTGATCCGAACCGAATTTTAAAAGGCATCGTAATGTACGGCTGTATATTCGGACAGAGGCCGTACATCATCGAGTGCCTTCGCGAATACGTGCGATCGTACTTATACGTTAATATTTGTGAATAATAGTAATAATCACGAACTCTTATTCTTTCGTATTTAAACAATTAGATAAATAAAAATATTACGCTTATATAATTAATGAATTAAGTATGTACACACAATACATATTTCGCTCATCGATAGATGTGTATGCATAGATGCATGCATATACATAGTATAGATATATGCATATGTATATAAATACATATGTATATGCATATTTCTAATTCACTTACCATCCAGAAGAGAGAATGTGTTTTACGCGTGGTCTAAGGAAAGGCCTAACGTTGAAGAACTTTCTAATGCGCTAGGATTGCCAACACGTGATCAACTCCATAGAGTTTTCCTGTAAGTTTCATTAAATTCAGTTGTATGAAAAGATGAGAGAAATATTGACTACATTTACACAGCATGCTTAATCATAACTGCAGATGTTATTGAACGCGATTAAGGATGCCATGTAAATGTAGTCATTAATTTCGCTTGTAACACGTTGTGTGTGTGTGTGTGTGTGTGTGTGTGTGTGTGTGTGTGTGTGTGTGTGTGTGTGTGTGATGTGTGTGTGATTAAGCCTAAACTTCATTTTATTAATATAAAAGATGTATAATGCGATTGTATTCAAATTGCACTTACGTAGGTTTCGTTAATTTGCCAGAAGTCTTCTTCTTGTTATTTCGACACTTCTTTACGTACGCTTCTATTAGATGGGCTATCTTTTTAGGATTAATTTCGCCTGTCTTATTATGGCATATCTGTAATTGAGATTGTAGGATATTTTTATTATGTGTGTTCTTATATATTACTTGGATTATGTTTATTCGATATTACTTTTAATTAATAAAAAATCGAAATAATATTCACCTTAGGTACTGCTTTGCGCATGATGTCTTTGTATTCCTCTTTTGTGATGTGCTTTTTGGTATAATGGGGTTTGAGAACCAATTTCACTTCTTCCACGACTCTCTCTTGTCGGTTTAGTTTTTTAAGAAACTGCAACACAGATAAAAACTTTTACATAATTTTATTACATATTTAATGTAATTTTACAAATTACATTAACGTCGTTGACATACCTTGTCTTTAACTTGCATCTCTACGGCAGAGCTAGGAAGATCGTCCAGAATTTGAAGTTGATTTTCGTCCATGCGTACGCCAACTTTAGGATTGGTAGCTATAAAATATATCATTTACATAATTACTGAAATGTTAATATTAATATTAATTACTGAAATATATTTGTTCGCTAATATTAAGAAAAATGTTCATGATAAAACTTTTAAAAAAGATGAAACTTTTAATCTTATAGCATCTGTTATATTGTTCATATCTACAATAATTACTACAAATATGACTCGGACCTCTCTGTATAGTCTCGATTTAAAAAAACGAAAATTAAAATACGTACACTTCTTCGTCTTTTCCTTAGTAACCTTTTTAATTCTGTTTTTGGTTGCAGTCTTAATTGGAGGCAGTATTCCACCGAATAACGCGTCGAACGGATCTTTCTTCTCCGTACTCTTGTTGACCTTCGGCGTGCCGCTGGTTTTAACAGCGGCAGGTGGTGGTGCATTTGCAACGGGTGAGTTATTAAAGTTGACAGGACTAGGTGGATCGAACAGGCTATCACTCAGGGTCGATCCCGGTGAATAAGGGGACGACATGTCGATGATATTGTCGTTCGTCATATCTATGGTCGCATCGTTACCGTTTTGCCCTACCGTCGAGCTGTTTTTATTCTGAGTAGATTTGGAAGATCGCGGCAAAGTGGATGACTTCGCAGAATTTGCAAATACATTAGGAAGTTGCGGTCTGTCGTTTGTGCGTTGCTTTATCTGATTACTCGGTGAGATGCGATTAGGCTGCAAGAAAACCAAGTACCAAACGATTTGATTTAGTAATTCATAATACTTAGAATGAATTAATTAAAATTAACATTTAAATAAAACAAAAACAAATCAAATACCTGCAACAGAGTTCTTTGTGCGGGATTAGACGTGTTGCTAGCATTGAAGCTTCTCTGCACTGCGGCCGCTACCGTCGCTAAGACGGGATTGATAGTACTAAACGGATTGACAGTCGATTGCACATTTTGTGGATTCTGCTGGGTCTTAGGCGGACTGCTGCTGCATGTTTGGGCTACGTCAGTCTGGCTCTCCGGCACAGGAGACGCGGAGACATCTCTCTGAGGTGATGGTCTCTTGATAGTTACTATCGATATTATCTTTGGCTTCTCTATCGGCTTCTCCTGAAGGGGTTGTTCTTGCTGTTGACTGGGCTCGTCCAACGGCAACGGAGTGTCAGCAGCTCCGTCGTGCTTCCTGGGCGAGTTGCGCTGTGCTCGGTCATGCTCGTCGTTTGGCGTTGCTTCTTGGCTGGCGTCCGGCGTTGGTGAACGAGATTTAGTTGGATCAAAGGGATCGTAAGCGTCCGGAGAAGTTGGCGGAGATGTCGGTGGGTCGGGAGGTGTGTTGGGACCGATCTTGAGACGCAGCTCCAATTCCTCCTGCGCTCGCATCTCTAGCTCCTCTTCGGCTCGCTCATCCATCATCTCCTCTTCTTCCTCCTCCTCTTCCTCTTCTTCTTCCTCTTCCAACAGCGGATTTATCAGGGACGGTCTAAGATTGCTGGGCTGCTTGTTTATGGAAAATTTGATCTGCGGCTCCGGCGGCGTCTTAGGACCTTGTGAGACGAACTGCTCACGTGGTGGCGATGCCTGTGACGGCGGGCATTGTTCCGGCGATGCAGCGAGCGTTTCCTGTACCTGCTTGTCGTCGTCGTCGCTCAATACTATAACGTCGCGAGGCGATGGCGTTTGTTCGCGAAACGGCGATTGATCCAGATCAATCACGGCCACGGGTTTCTTCGTCGCTGCGATCTCTGCCGCCTTGGATTTCTTCTTCTTATCCTTCTTCACCTTCGGTGACTTCGATCGCTTATCTTTCGTCTTATCTTTCTTCGATCGCTTCGTGGAAGGCGTGGTCTCTGTCTGAACAGACTCTCTTCGACGACGTTTTATCGGAGGTGACAATGGAATAGTTGGCAACTCCAACGGTAAGGACAACGGATTCGTCTCGTTGTCTTTGTTAAAGCATACGCTAACCAGTATATTGTCACCGCTAGCAAATACTTCTTTCGATGGCGGCGGAGTCCTGTTGCGTTTATTCTTTCGCCGTTTCTCCGCCTCCTTGGACTTCCGACTCTCTTTCCGCCGTTCCTTCTTCTTCTTCTTTATCGCCTCCTTGTTTGTTAATATGACAGTCAGATTCTTTGGCGATACGTTATCCAGTACGGATGGTGGTGACCAATTTCGCGCCCCGATTGGCTCCTGCTGAATATGCGGTGGTGTCTTCGATCTCGAACGCGACCAGGACGGCGTCCACTGCGCGCTCCACGAACGCTGGCGCTCTTCGCGCTCGCGTGGGAACGGCTGCTCCTGCTCCACGGTCTTCTCGTTCAGCTGTTCCCAGTTCCTGTTACGATCCCGCTCTCGCGAGATTGACCTAGCCTTCGACCGCGACCGACTGTGCGCCTTCCTCTTGCCGTGCTTCTTCTCGCGTGCCTTGGATGTCCTCTTCGGCGACTTGCTGCGCGATCTCTTACGATTCCTGGAGCGACTGCGCGACTTGTACTTCTTTGTCTTCTCCTTCCGCTTATCGCGTGATCTCGACAGTGATCGCCTACGTCGTCTAGACGACAGCGATCGCCGCTTACGAGACAGCGAACGCGATCTTCTACGTGAGATGGAGTACCGTCTTGATAGAGATCGTCTTCGCGACTTGCGTCTGATACGAGACGACGATCTTTTGCGTGAATTGGAACGGCACGATTTGGAATACGATTGGCCACGATCTCTCGACCAGGACAATCGGGGACGGGATCTACTCTTTGATCGTCCCTTCAAATACGATTGACTTCGTCGGTCTTTTGAACTTAACTGAATTCTATTCGACGAACGACTTCTCGATCTGCTTCGTGACTTTTCCCTGATGTCCCTGCCATACTCGTCCTTTCTCGGTCGTGATGGTTTCTCAGCCACGATCTTTCTTACGTCATATCGCGGTAACTCTTTTCTCTTCTCCTTCTTCTTACTAATTTCCTTTGTCTTTTTCTTAGAAGACTTGTCCTTTTCTCTTTCCCTTTCCTTCGACCTAGATCGTTTATCCTTGTCGCGGTATGGCCTATCCTTTGTATTTTTTGAAAGTTTCTTCCAAGAGACCAGATTATCTGATGAAATGTTTTCCTTGTTTTTCTCCGTACTTTCCTTGTTCTTTTCCTTTTTGTCCTTTTTCCTCTTTTTTTTACCGTCTTCTTTATCCTCTCTAAATTTTTCACGCTCCTTCGTCTCCAGTTTACTCTCGTCTAATATCTCGCCATCCTCCATTTCTTTCTCTCTCTCTTTACGTAACGCCAAGGCGATCAATTCCTCTTCGAAATTTATCGCGTCGTCGGTTTCGGAGATAGCCTCAGTGCCCAGCTCAGCGTAACCAGTCAGTGACCTGCAGTCATCCAGATCGTCATTCGTTTTGTCCTTCGTCGGTGTGATAGGCTCCAAGCCGGCTTCGAACGGCATACATCGCTCCACAGGCGTGTTCTCATCCCTCAAGGGCAACTCGTCTTTGCAAGGTGTGTAAGCGCCATCCGAGTCCCAATTATTATCGAAAGTGGCAGGTACAGGTGGCTCATTTACCTTGTCCTTCTCGATTGGGAATTGCTCTACTTCATCATCCACCGTCGAGAAACTTTCCTTCTCGTGCCGTTGATCCGACAAATTTGGATCCTCATTGTCGCTCGACGCTTTATCATCGTCCTTGTCATCCTTATTATCATTCGCTTTGGCAAGTTTATGGCTGCTCGATGAACGCTCGTCATCACTGCTAGATTCTCGCTCTTGTGAGTCGTCTGCAGTCATCTCACTTTGCAACTCGGTATTTGAATGAGATAGCATGATTTTGTTCGTTGTGTCACCACCTTCCAAGTCTTCCGAGCTGCATTCAATACTCAGCTCGCTGCTGTCCAATTTTCTTGGTGACAACCGAGCCATGTCAAGAGTGGGCGATGACATTGCGCTTTCCGTGACCGCCATGGTCTCTTGTGGTGTGGTATTTGCCGCCGCCGATTGCACTTCTTGTTCATTGTCTTCCTCTTCCTTCTTGTTGGATGAAGCATCGACATGTTTCGGTCTTTCATCCACCGTTGTAACTTCTTCATCCGATGAGCTCTCGGAACGGGATTCTTTGCTTTCGCATTGACTATCAAGTTTAAATAACTCTTTCTTTTTCGGGCTCTCTGAAACAGGCTCCAACTCCATGTCTTCTTCTTTTTCCTCTTCTTCTTCTTCTTCTTCTTCTTCTTCTTCTTCTTCAGCAATTTGTGGTCCAATTTTAATAAACTGGTCCAACGCTATCGACGATTGTACGACTGTGGATTCAATCTCTAATTTTGATGAACTGACATCTTTATTGCTATCTTGCTCTTGTTGCTGTTTGTCACTTGATGACGCCATTATAGTTTTTTTCTGAAGAACACTGTTCTGCGAATTATCGTCCAACTGCAGGCCACTCAGCCGATTATTAAGCCTAATTTTGTTACCGATTTTGAAAGTAATCTTACCACGATGCGAATCATGCGAGATCTTCTTCGGTGGTATCTTACTTAAGGTTTGACGCTCCTTCTGTAGCGCCTCGAGATAAGGATCGGCCGGCTCAGGTGGCAAATCCGGCAGATCGCAGGCTTGAATGTCTCCTACAATAATATCATCATCATCGGGGATGCTGGGCGGTAACGGTGGCGGCTGCAGTGATCCCAGCTGCTGTGACAATTCCTGTTCTGTATGCCTAGCCACGTCCATAGTCTGCGACGAGTAGATGGAAAAATTTGGGCAGTCCGACTGTGAGTCATTATCATCATCATCATCGTACGCAGTCAACCGAATGGGTTCCTGTGTATGTTCTCTGCTTTGAGTCGTCGTCGCGGTAGTTGGCAACGGAGGATAAGTTGCAGAGACCAACGGCGGCGCACTTGGCATAGGTATATTACAATTGTCTATGCTGTTCCGCAACATATCTGCCTTCTCCAACGTTTTCAATGGAGTGACTGCATCGTCATTGCTGTCGCTGTCGGCTGCAAACGGATCATATTTGTCGCCGCTTATCGGCAGATCTCTTGGCGTTTCCTCCTTATGACTATCGTCAATCACCAATTCCTGCTCACTGTCGTCCTTGTCGCTTCTGGAGTTTTCTTCAAAATTCAGCAAACCAGATGGCGGTTCTGGCGGTGGTAACAAAATCATCGAGCTATTATTGTGAAGCTCTTCCTGTGTATCGCAATCAGACTTGGCTAGTGGTTCGATGTCGCAATAAATATCGCAGTCATCATTGTCTTGTCGCGCAGCAGGTGATGCAGCCACGGGTGACGCAATTACGGGTGACCCGGCCATGGGATCCGGCATCACAATGCGATCATTCTGCTCAGATGGTAGCTGATAGTTTCGCGTCATATCTTCCGGCAGGTTGACCGGAGGTAGACTGTTGTGCATGTGTACCGGTTGCTGCATATTTATTGTTTCCGGTGCGTTTGGTGGTGCAACGG